GTTGCAGAAACGAAACATCTTTAAGAAGCGGCTGTGAGTTGCAACGTGGCTGGAACGTGCAACATTGAAGAATGATGGCAAACTTTGTTATGGACATTACCCAAACCGCCGCGCTGCACAAGCCAGGCACATATAGATTCTTAGAGGCCCATTTATTATGCCAACGATAAAAACCGGATAAAGGTGGATGACACTTCTACTGGTCAGAAAACTAGAGGTCTTTCCACGAGGTTGGATTCGAAGTGTTATGCTGCCCTGTGTGGTGAGTCTGATAGGGTCAAAATGGAAATTTTGGTCCCACATTAAGCTGCATTGAAGAAAAACGTTTTCCTTATTCACAACGTGAAGACCAATATCTGAATGTTATAAGTCTTCTTTCTTGCAGTGCAGTTACGGATAACAGACCTGATTGGTTAAAAGATAATCTCCGTTCCTGCTACTCACTGTTGAGCAAAAAATATGTAGACCATACGGTGAAGTAATAGGTTTCTCCGGAGGTTCTGGGGGATCGAAGTCACTAACTCAGTCGTTTCACTCACCGGTGAACGCATAAAGCCGAAAGTTGGTCTCGACGATTAAGAATCCTTTCGGTTTGTGGCTGAGTGACATAGTGAAATTTGACAGAATAGCTGTGAGAGCCGTAAAGCAGAACCAACCGGCTTTCCTCTTAAATAAAAAGTATACAACTACGATAAGGCTGAAACAGAGCAACCAACTTCCTTACCTTTCGCTGATAGACAAGGCCGATCCCTCGAAGGTGCTGCAGAAAGTTCAGTGATGCTGAGGACAGCATTTCAGTCGTGTACGCCTTGTCTAAAGAGCAAAAGACGCTAGCGAGGAGGAACGATATTGCTTCTTCAGGACTTGAAGACTTTTTCTAAACATGAACGCCTCGGTTAAAATGTCCAAAGTGAATGTTGATCAAAGAAATGAAATTGTAAATAACGATATTATAGGCAACATGAGAGGCTATTGTTTCTGGAACATAATATTCAATCTGGTACTGTCTGATGGACAGTGAGAAATAATGTGTGCCCAGTCCTATTTTCAAGGCCACAATAACACTACACCCTGAACTTCATCTACCAACGGTACTCGCAGCAGCCATGTCCTGTGTGAACCCGGTTTAATTCGACCATTCTTGGCAAATCAAGTTTATGCCCGGATGTTTGTGGCCCTGTGTTATGGGGATAATTCAACGAAACAAAATAAATACTAATGCTAGAAAAAGCCATATGTGTCTGTTTCGAAATCGTCAATATTTCTTTATTTGCTCCAAGC